GTATATTCGCTTTAGGTTGATGGTAATTGGACTAAGATATCGTTTGATGTAAGGATAAACATGATGTAAAACATCCAGTCGACATATTAGAACATGAAGTTAAGAGAAATGGAAAGTTTTCACAGGCTGCAATTCAATATTTGATCAAGAAATCGAATTACAGCAAAAGTGTCGCTCGTAATGCAAATGAGCTCAATGACAATTGTTTTCGTACGTTATGAGTTTGTCTGTGTTACGGCGAAAATTAAGTAAGCGTTTGACCCGTCCCATGCCATTGTCCAACAATTATGTTGTACTGTATTACCTAGGCATATCAAAACTGGGTGACCAAACATGAAACTGAGAGAATACTTCCTGGACTCAAGCTAACTCCTGAACAATTGTTCTTCGTTGGATTTGCTCAGGTATGCATCGATGAAACTAAGAAATCAATACAAAAACAACGAGATGACACAATGTCAAAGGAAAAAAGCACTGACTTTCCAAAAGGGTGGCACGGGTGGTCTAGTGGTTAAGATCCTGGGCCCTCACCACTGTGGTCCGGGTTCAATTCCCGGGCACGGACCTTCATATGTGAGGTTGAGTTTGTTTGATGTGTTGCTGTCTCTCCCTTGCCATGAGGGGTTTTCTCCAAAATCCGCTCTATTGGAATACACTATAGAGTATTAAAGTCATGTGTTTCTTTTTTTCGGCTATTATATTCGTCAGCGAGAATGCAGTATTTTTACAACAAGGGGAGCAGCAAACAGACAGTGGGCCAAACATACCACTCCAAAATACAGGTAAGCAATTCAAATTTTGATTGTATTTATTATATTATAACTTTATAATGAATGCATTATCTCATTCTGCCTTTCTCTCTCTCTGATACTAATGGCTTATAGAGTAAACGCACTTACTACAATTGTAGCCTTTTTGTGCTAGTTTTAAAGGATGTTTCCCCCCACATTGCATCAGATTCGAATTCAGTGCATATTTTGTGTTTTTTTTTTAAATTCACGAATTAAATGCGTTCGCGTATGACATATGTCACCTAATCAGCTGTACTTACTCATGGGTTCACATAAATACTAGGACCACTAGTTTACTATCCCTCCCGGGAGAGGGGGGGGCTATTCCCCAGCTTGGGTGGGGATGTGCCGATGGGACCTCAAAACCCTGACCCTGTTCATTGACTGAAATTGCTGAAAACTATAACCTGTTCCAGAGTAAAATCCAGCACTAGCCTGAGTGTAGACCGAATTTTTACCCTGTGAATTTTTACGGCAGCATCGATAATTCCGTCATTWAACCCTGACCCTGTTCCAGAGTAAAATCGTTGAAATCGATACCCTGTTCCAGAGTGAAMTTYGCTAAAAGCGATACCCTGTTCCAGAGTAAAATGACTAAAAACGATACCCTGGTTGGCGGTACGTACCCGTACAGCGAATATAGGGGGGAGTACTCCCCCGGGGTATCCCTCCGCCACCGAGCACGCAGTCATTGCTACCGCCATAACGCGTAGACTGGCTTTATTTATCTTTTTTTTTCTTTTTTTTTGCAGGATCATAGGAGCTCTCTCAAATTTTGACAAGTTTTCCAAGGCGTTTCGATGCCCTAGCAACAGTCGTATGAATCCAATCAAGAAATGCTCTGTTTGGTGAATTGAACATAAAAAGAGTTCAGAACTAATCTGTGGTATATCTGTGTTTGCGACCTCTTCTACAAAAAATAGAGTYGCTGACCGAGACCGTTTAATGTACCGGACCCAAAGCCGCTGTTTCTCATCGGATGTAAAGTCWTTGAGCAAAGAATAGAGACTTTTCACAACACTTGCGTTAACGCTTGGAAGGTGGACAAACCGACCTTCAAATTCCCGAKAAGTGAAAGGCGTAACTTTACTACAAAGTATTCTGGTAGTTGTAGTTAATAAWAACATAATATAAATCGCCTTTTAACATGGTCTCGGTTACATCTGCAGCTACAAAAAAATAAAAATAAAATGTAACCATAGTAACKTTCTCCGCACCATTCACAACTGGCCATTCTTTTACCACTAATACTAAAGGGACGCTTAAGAGCAGGCACATAATATAATTAACACTTATTTACTGGAACCGAGGGAAACAGTATGTTTTGTGGTCCCGAGGCCCCTGATGTTTCCCGAAGCGAARCTTCATTGTGTTATTACATTGATTGATTTTAGTGACATTTGACATTTGACATTTTTATTGCCATTTTATCAAAACACTTCACACTCTATTTACTTTTTTTGCTCTCTTGACACTTGACACTTGATAKGATAATGAAGCACTTATTTACTGGRAACCTCGGGAAACAGCATGTTTTGCGGTCCCTCGACCGCTGATGCAAGCACGTGTACTTCCTTAGGAACACAAGAACTTTTAGTGTAACAATTTYCAAAACATAGTATAAGTATAAGTTTTGTACATATTTTAAATAATCGCACATCCTTTGTAACATTGAATACAATTCAGMCACTTCCTGCAAATGTAAATTTTAATAAAGTATCTATCTCTCTATCATAACAATGACACAAATAAGGGACTGTGCAATAATATTACCAGGAGGGGGGGACGTAAGGGGGGGGGGTTGGGCATTACCTAAAATTGATGGCAAGATAGGGGGGCTCAAAGTAAAATTACCTAATTATCAGAGGGGGCCCTTAAGTTTCATCAAGAGAAAATGAGGTAAGAGAAGGAATCCCTGTTACCCATCATAGACTATAAGCCCTTCCTTCTATTTTTAGAAAAAGAGCTATTTTTAGTTTATTACCAAGCCCGCGCGACCACTACTCGTTTATCGGAATTTGACATATCTTTTTTCACAACTACCCCCTCCAGAACACTCCATAGATATGGTCTGGTACCTCAGAAGGCCCTGACGTCACAGCAAGAACACACGATCGGAGTTTTCAAGAAGTAAACACAGCGTTCAAGATTTTAATGATCTTCAGACGTCGAAAATCAAGYGTCTTTACACGGTGAAGAGCCTTGAGCGGAAGAAGAATGGCTACAGGAATATAATTGAGAAATATAGCAGAAAAAAAAACTAATAGAGCCTTTTCATGGAGTTAAAATGTCCTAGTGTATGCACAGCATATATTCTCTCTTCGCTATTGTTTTTGTCGGCGCGAAGCGTCGTAATCGAGGCCGTAAGGCCCAGCAAAAATTTGCGGCCTCGATTAAGGCGCTTCGCGCCGACAAAAACAATAACGAGGAGAGAAAATATCAAACCTCTGGGACCAGGGTAGACGTGACCGAGTGTTGGGCAGTCTAAACTTAGGCCGCGGTAACTCGCTATCAATAGACAAATCAAAGCAGTGTTATTTACATAAAAATATTAAGCGTTTCCTGTGACCAAAGCGAATCTGAACAAGGACGCTTTGCCCCCCGGGGGGGACTCCCTAATATCAAAGGGCGGGGGTCCTCGGCGGAGATTGTGAAAATGACCCCTAAAAGGGACCTCTATTGTAAGATGATGGGCGTGGCAGTGCTGAAATTTCAACCCTAAAAGGGACCAATCAATAACAGGTCATTTTGTTTTGGTTAACCGATTTTATTTGTGTTTTTACACAATCATCGAACACCATCGGCTCGTATTGAGTTTATGACGACGTTGCCATTTTATGACTGCTTAGGGTCGCCGTATACCCTAAAAGGGACCAYAAAACTCAGTTGGTAGGAATTCTTGTCATGATCACCCTAAGCGGGACCAAAATACTGATTTCAAACCCTAAAAGGGACGCCGAGGACCCCCGCCCTTTGATATTATGGAGTCCCCCCCCCGGGCTTTGCCGTCCTCCTTCGGCACTCGCACTTCATTTGACTAATGCCGAGTAGTCATCAATTTTTCTAAACTTTTCGAGGGAATAGCTATCAATAGTCAGTTGAAAACTAGTCTTAGTTTGCATAGAAATAATATTAAGCGACTCTTGTGAAATAAGTGAATTTGAATACACAAGTATTCAAAGGACAGTCATCTCTATTAACTATGCACAATAATAATAGCCTCAAGCTTTCTTTCACGTGTTTTTGTAAATGACGTTACTCTAGACTTACATAGGTGAACTGTCATTAACCAGTGAAACAAAATTTGACTATTAAAGTGTGAATAGTCAAATAGACACAAAATAAGAAAAAAATTCAGTCAGGGCTTACTAGGGTATATTGCTGTAATATCTAATATCTTTATATTCACCCACATTCGAGCACAATTAGTATACAACAATCCAAACAATCAATCAAAAATTATTTTTTGTGACAAAATTCAATTCAACACTAGATTTAAGTGAATTTGCWCGCATTTCAAACACTTTTAGTTTTTCTTGGAATCATTTGGTTCCTCTGGTTCTGCTTTCCTGCATTTACTAACGATCCAGGAATGTTCCTCGTCGTCTGTAAAAACGGAAAAAATGGTCATAGTACTATTAAAGGACTAGCAAACGGTAGAGGCTTGATAAGATGTTTAATGTAGGCTCCAATACAAATTGTAGTTGAAACTCTGGAAAACTCTTCTCCTTCTCGCGCTAAATTAYATTTGCACCCGTTTTTAGGGATTTGTCTTATAATTGCATTATGTCAAAAACGTCAMTGAATTATCTTATATTAACTGAGAATATGGTAGAGGTGTTGCCTCATAATTAACGATAAGAAAATCAATAAATTTATCATTCCTAAGAGACTTTCACGGAAATCGGTTTCACGACAATTAAAGTACATTATATAAGGCAACGCATGGTTGTCAAAAGGTCAACAGGTACATCGGTTTATACAAGGGCGCCAGGACAACCGTAACAGTTTTTGAATGATATTACGATTGTATTTGTTAYAGCTTTGAGTATCGTAGAAATTCACTTATCTGACTTCTTGTGTATATCTTATACCCCCCGGGGTATTTTAGTGAACTTAAGGTAAATTCCTTAACTATATTAACGATATTAGTGACGTAGATTACATCGCGCGGTTGCATAAGCGGACGGTACGTACCAGTACGAAATTAACGGCCGTTAAATAACGTGGCGTACTGAAATTAAACACGTACGGCTTTTAGTTAGCTTTTGACATTTAGGAATGGAGAAAATTGCCCACCAATCGCCAAAAATCTATCTATTTATCCAAGGGAATTCGGGATACACTCAAGATATACACAAGAAGTCCGCAGATAAGTGAATTTCTACGATACTCAAAGCTATAACAAATACAATCGTAATATCATTCAAAAACTGTTACGGTTGTCCTGGCGCCCTTGGTTTATACGACTTAGACCGATATTTAAATACGCGATTAACTTRATAAACATCGGKGGTTAAGAGTCGTACACGCCATAACCTAACCCGAGGTTACACAACTTTGACCGTCAGTGTACGTGCTCAAGAGACAATCATATGGCTAACCTGTTGTATCTTGCCTTTGAGAATAACGCTGGCTTGTATATCGTACACAATGCATGCGCGAACCTTTGTTAATAATTATTGAGTAATAAAAGCATTTAAAAAGATATAAAAATATATGTTGAAATTTCTGTCCCTTAACAGTACTGATATAGGCTATTAATATCACATTAAGAAAATGTTGTCGTTTCTTCAATATTTGAGGTGTACAGCATTAGAAGAGAAATTTTCCGTTTAGCAATTGTTCCGCTCGGTGATAGYGGTTATATTAATACCTGCAGTCCTGAGGAACCTCATATCGTACGTATACAGAACTCTCTTTGCTGGATCATAAAAGCCATCACCACTGTCGTACATACCATGTGGGATCACTCGTGGTGGGATCATATTAGAAACTAAGCATCGACCTGTCAAAWGTGCACAAACAAAAGATTTTTTCTCTAGGGTGAAAAATAACTGTGTACCAATTCTTTCTGTAGTAGCGATTGACAACAATATTTATATCCAGGGCTAGTATTCTATATGCTTACAAAGTTCCAGTATGCAAAACTATTTCAATGAAAATCGTGATCATTCAAAATATCACGCAAATATCTGAAATTTGAAACTACCAATCCTTTGGCAATATAAGAGGACGTTGCTCTGTCTTAAAACAGCTTCAACTTTGTAGAAATTTATACTTTGATGCATAATACTTTGATTTATACTTTATACTTGTGATGCATAATAGTGCGCATAATTAGCTGCATGCKTCATTAAAATGGACCGGYAACCTTGGTAACCTTCCAWAGTTTTTCTGTCTCCTTTTTCCCGGGACCAGAAGTGTGCTAAAAGGGGYCTGGGACTGGACTTAACTATTTCAAGCACTYTACGRCCGGMTTCGTAAATCAYTATTTTTATTTGGCGTCATCACCAGGTGATTAGGTTCTCTGGTCGCGCTATTTCGTCTCCGTGTCGTGATCCGTGCCTTTGCATAGTTATATTAAATTCCTCATATCATGGCAGTCTTACCTGCCGGTTTCAAACCATTTTGCAGTTCCACGGCGAACATGCGATTATTTTTGACGTCACAATAGCCCCATTCCTTACCGATATCGTATTCTAATTCATCCGAAAACACATATTTACCCTGACAAAAAGAAACTTGTTAAGTTATTTAAAGTAATTAAGAGTCGCGGAATAAATCGATTAACGATCGCAAAGCATTATGTTTGGCTTATTTTAATTAAGCTGCTCAATATATTACCTGTTTTGACAGTCCACYCTCAAACTTTCCTCGGTAAGACATTGAGTTGGATAAGTACATTTTACCATCACCATTGAAACTAAAAAATAGAAATAAATATATTCGTATATCACTGTTATAATTTTCGATTTATTACAACACATTCCTGCATTGGTGTATAAAGCTATTTCAGAAAACGTTGAATATTTAACACTCATACGGGAAAATGTGTTCCAATACCGAAATGCTTTGTAGATCGTTCTATCACTGCGTCTTATTTAATTACATTATAACACAAATAATAAAAGGTCATAAAATTTAAGGAGGATAATCCCCATCCCTCCACCCTGGGATCATTATTTGTAAATTGAGCAATTGTTTTTCTGACGAAGGCCTTCTGGGAAGGCCTCTCGTCACTATGTCATGGACCATGGTTGAGTGAGTTGAGTTTCTGTAACCAAATCGAAGTTATTTAAACCAAATCGAAGTAATTTCGAATTACGAGCCTGTACGAAATCGTCTACGAAATCCCGACGACTGAGATTTACGAGAAAAAATCGATTTGGCCTGAGCATGCGCGTTCTCTTTGTGACGTGTTGAGTGCATTCGTGTTCTTTTATCAAAATACAATGTTTTCAAACTATTTTGTGTCGAGAACTAGGCACAAATTCTATGAACTCACTTTGATCCTTGAAACAAATAGAATAGTGCAAAATTGATGATGATTTTTTTATTGGTCTGTCCTTTTTAAGATGAAATTACAAAGACCTACTTATCTTGAGAACTTTGGCCCCCTTCACCACTGAAGACGCAAATTTTTGAAAAATTACATGCCAAAAGCTTTGAATTAACTTTCTTCGATTCGTTCGCAACGGTGTTGCAAGAAAACGTGTTGAGAAAATTGCACAGTGTAGCAGTACATCAAATGAAATGCATAAAACATGAAACAAAATCTTCCACTTGAAATCAATACTCCTTTTCTTAAGGTGTTCAATATTTCCATGTTCAATGATGTAATGAAAAACGCAAAATATTTTTAAGAGAAATCTGGACCTGTCTGCCTGTTGGCAGGGATGGGGGAATAGGGGGCTGGGTCAACCCATGGACCCACCTGACTTGGCCATAAAACACATAAAACAGCCTAATTGAATCAAAGCTAAGAATTTTTAAGAGAAATTTGGACCTGTCTACCTGTGGGCGGGAATGGAGGGAAGAAAAGGGGGCTGGGTCACCCCATGCACCCACCTTACTTGACCATCACATAGAACAGCGACACTGTTAATTTAACACAAAAAAGACTACGAAAAACCTCATTTTCTCAAAATAGAAATGAAAAGATAAAAATAGAAACTACGTATTAAAAGAACCTATCATGAACAAAGATCGATGGAAATATGAATCTTATATATCGGTTAACGAGCTTATAAATTGTAAAAAACTTTCACAAAAATCGCCAGGCGCTCTGTTTACAAGTAAATTAGGCAGATTTCAAGACGCGAGCGCTCACTGGCGGGAAAGCTGTGGACATGCGCCAGCTTGGGTATTCTGCTAGTTGCTAGTTGCTAGTTGCTAGTTGCAATGTTCAGGGTATACATTTTGTATACAACAGAATGTATAAATGATGTATAAATGATGTATAAATGATGTATATATATGTTGGATATTTATATATGGCACAAATCTAAATAATTCGTATCAACATAAATTTGATAGTTTTAGTTTATACTTGGTTGGTTCAAAACCACGAGCTCAGGCTTTCATTAAAATTCAAGACCATCGAGTTTATAAACCAAGCAACTTGCCGTCGTTTTTATACCGTCGATCTCATCTGACTATGGAGCCATGATTGGACTGTTTTTCTGCACACATAAGGTGTAGAAAAAATGGCTATTCGGATGAAACAAATATTTTGAAATCAAAGCAAAAAAAATCACCTTTTGTGTGCAAAATAAAGCCGGCAAAAAAGTGACATACATGGATAGACCAAAATATGCTGTGACAAGTCAAAACGTCTCCAGTGTCCCCCACAGAGGTCGGGAATTTGTCTAGTCGCCAGTTCTGACCGCATTTACCGCCCAGGATACTGTCGACACGTGAGAAGGTTTCTCTATTTTTGGAGTCATTTTTCTTGAGTTTTTCTCTCGAAAAACTTTTCTCTTGGTGCCATTCGTCCAAAATAAGGTAAAAACCGTTATTTTGCACTTACTGTCTCAGACAAAAATTCGTTTTGACTCAAAGTTGGCGCGAAAGAGGATTTTTGTCGATCGTTTTTGTCTCTTTTTTAGGAGAAATCCACCGGACTGTCCTCCCCTGTCACTATATATATATATATATATATATAAGGAGGGGATATTTTTCAAAACCCATTTATAATGCTATAAAACGTTATAAAAAATAAAACTAGACAATTTTGAGAAGTTTTAATTTAACGTTYTTGCAATTAGGTGTATGTTATTATGTGTAGATATAAGGAACCATGAGCTGATTTTTGAGTGATTTAAATGTAATCAGCAGAATATTGAATTTAAWTCTTGAAAGTATTAATTTATTTATATTATTTATATTATATTTTCGTTAATTTGACTGATAATTGTTATATTTTCTATTTTCTATTACCGGTCTTACCGAACTTTTAGGAACTAGCAACTAGCAACTAGCAACTAGCAACTAGCGGTCTACCTTTTCGACATGCGCAGTGCGTTTTTCACCAGTATCTAGAACAGCCTAATTGAATCAAAGTTAACACCGAAGGAGATTCTCTGAAAGTACTTATAAATTAAAATAGCATTTGCGCAAAAATGTTACATTATATRTCATAGCATTTCTCGTAGAAAATGTTTTTTTAATTAAGTGCAGTTTATCGATTTGCACTCAAACAATGTTATACACGTAATACTGTCTTTTCCGTGATCCCTTTCGGTCTATTTGGAACCCGACTACGTTTTCTCAACTGCCCTATTTCATTATGAAGTCAARAATTCTTTTTTCTTACGCTAAGGATTATGGTCGCCAGATGGGATCAGAGTGACATGGAGTGACGGTATCGTCAAATAAAATATACATGACATACATTAAAGTTCTACTTTCGGAGAGAATGGGTCCAAATTTCCACTGTTGCTGAGCATGAAAACAAACTGTGACGTCATAATGAAATAGGGCAATAGGCTAGTGGTATGCATAGTTTGCATAGTTCAATTTATCATTGAAACTTTACTATTTTTTCGTTGTAAGAAAAAACGATCTATGCTTTTTCAAACCTTATTTTATCTAAATCATCAAATGATACCCCAACAAGTAGCCTGCGTCACATCCGGACAAACCACGGTTAAGTCCGGACTCCCAACAAGCTACTATCAATCACTACTAGTATCGTGTCATACGCACTTTAATTTAGAGACCAAGATAACTTACTCTCCATCTTTCATTTCTCCTTCGTACGTCGATCCCAGAAGAACAGGAAATTCATATTCACAACGACCTTGCATTCTAGATATGCAACGAAAAACACAAGCAAAGACTTTTATAGGCAAAGATAGGCAATAACATCATGACACCCTCCATGACACACAACTAAGCTCAGAGTAAAGAGCGGTAAAACACTGTTAAAGTACGAAAAAGTGCTAACACCGTATTGCGTACGTAGTTATTCATTTTAGATCATTATCCACAAAATGCCAAATCGGTTATTTGTTGATGTTCGACTCATAAGTCTTTCAAGCAAGCGACTTGAAAGTTGATCAACCTTCACATTTTATCCAAGATTTACATGATAATTAACACAGTGCGTCGCGATGTTTTCACAAAAACTCGATTTATCCGAAAATTTGTCCGTTTTATTTTATAGAAATTCTAGGATCTTTTTATATAAACAATCACAAGTTGTAATAATTTAAACGTTCATTCAACCTAAAATTTTATTTACTTAGTCGAGCTTTCGGCTCAAGACTGATGAAAGAACGTTAAGTTGGCCAAGTTTAAAATAATTCCTTGGACCAGAAGTCCTTTTCCGACCGCTTTCATCTCCAAGGAATGTAATTGCAGTAGCAAACAATCATTACCTGCCRTGAACATACTCCCCATAATATTGACTTCCAGTGTACTGCATTTTTTATCGACAACCGTTAACTAAGAAAGAAACCTTTGATAGAACTTCTTTATGACGTATATTCCATGTATATTCAGTACGTTCGAGCGCGAGCTTATTGCATGACAAGCAAAAGAATTCAGGGGCCTTCRCTATGAGCTGTTTGGTAACAATTTATTTAAGAACTTAATATAAAAAAATACATTATATTYATAATACTGTTTTGTTTATAACACTTTATTATTTTTTAACTTATAAATTCCAGAAAATATTTCTTGTAAGTTCCCCTTATATGACTATTCAGAATTCAAAAAGGGACTGAGAGAGAGAGTGAATTATATCAACTTTATTGAAAACTGAACTTCACCAAATATAAAATCAGTCCTCCTTTTTAATTTACACTCAACAAGGTCGTATCCATGGGGGGAGTTAAGGTTTTTTTTTTCACTTTTTTTTTTCGACGTCAGATGACATCAATCATGGAGAAATGAAAAAAAAAAACTTATTTAAAAGTTATACACAGGGTTCTTACAGATTCCAGAGTTAACATTTCAAAAACTTTTCCAAAACTTTTCCACAGCTATCAACCTAAATTTCCAAAACATATATAAAATACAATTCTGTCCATGTTGGTCGATCTTGAAGGAAACCAGCCGGCTTTTTTCGTAAAATAATCAATTTACAGGAGCGAAGAAATCGGCATTTTTATCGAATTGACAGGAAAACAGAAACTTTCTTTCAAAGGTGGGATGTCTAAAAAAAATTCAAAACTTTTCCATAGCCCGATGGTCAAAAAATATTTTTTCCAAAACTTTCCCAGGTCCTGGAAAAAGGAATTTTGATTTCCAAAACTTTCCAAAACCCGTACGAACCCTGTATACAGTAAAAAGTCTATAAATGAAGACATCCTGTGACCCCMGCTAAATACGCCCTCCCTTTACCCTGATTTTCAGACCACCATCTCTGTTACGGCGATCTCTTGAATCAGACAATCATCACAGGTTTCTGACATTGCACACCCACCGGTCGTCTTACTTCAATGCAAAGGGACGGTTACTTTTCAAAATGGAGAAGGGAACTGTGAAGGAGACTATCTAACATATATTTAATGACGATTTAGAATTATGACAATAGTTGCTAATTACCTAATCAATTTTTGAATTTATTTGTAATTAATCGTTGGGGCCGCGCCGCGTATTTTTTATTTTATTGTTGTAACTTGACAAAGAGAAAAGCAAGAAKAATAATTGGGGGTCCTCTAGTCTCCCCCTGGCGAAAGGTTTTGTAAAAACTCACTGACTTAGAAAAGCTATTCGACAAAAACTATAAAAAAATCACCGAAAAAAATTGAAGCTTCATTGCATTATGAAGAAAAGGAAATWGAAACAAAAACATGGACGCAATGGTACTCTCCTCAATAACATCGGTTCAGCAAGATGAACCAGGGATTTACAAATGYACAAACTGAAGCGACGTTGCGGTCAGACAGCTTTGAACAACGAGCATTGAGTTATTTCTCAGACTGGTTCTTGAGTATACTCTSTAGARTGCTCCATCGTATCTGATGCCATTCTTAACTGACATCGTTAATCTTGCCGACAGTAGTCGTATAGTGTTCATAATTAATGGATCTAGTTTTTTTTATTGCAAGCTTTTTTACAGTTATCTGAATTCTTTGACTCATTTGAAGTCAGAGTACAAACACTAAAAGTATGAAGTGCTTAATTCTATTCAGGATAAACTGGCCACTGACAARCACCCAGCTAAAATTACACATGCGCGTTGCATGGGGCTAGAAGGAGATTTTCGAACTTTTGCACCAAAGCAAACTGGGAAATTGTAATGCATTATATGAAAATACGCATGAATCTGAATCTTTTCGACTATAGTTGTATGTAATTCAGATCTGACTTACTTAAATCAGAACTTTTTAAGACTTTGTACTCTATTCAAATMGTCATTCTAATTAAACGTTGTCGCTTATCGGTCTCGTTCCCACGCGACTAGAAAGAAAAGGGAATATGGGTAAATGAGCAGGCATTATTAACAATCATTAACAATCGAGATCATGTTTAATCGTTGAAAAWATTTCCGTCCATTATCCTTTTCTCTCTGGTTGAGTAGCGATTAGACCGAGAAGCAAGTCTGTATCCAAACCGTTTTTATAACACTATCTTTTCTCGCGACAGTAAATTGTTAGTTTACTGTCCGTCAAATTCCAGAAGGAGGACAGAGATTCTTGGTCGACTGACGCCATATCGCCTTCACGATCAAACCTTTAACGAAATTTTTTTACATTATTCACCATAGTRTTATTAGGGTTTTTTATTAAAGGAGGTGGCAGAAAGTGCGAGGACAACGATGCAGGCGACCCATTCAAAACGAGTAACAGTGCGCTTGTTGTATATAGTTTTACGAGTGTGCACAGAAGGATCGGGATGATCGGGATCGGGATTGGAAAATGCGTAGAAATGTGCAGAAAAAAAAAAAAAAAAAAAAAAATTGGATAAGGAAGTATGTACAGCAGGAGCGCGAAGGACCTTAAGTTTTAAGTAGGTACCGAAATACATAATCGCAATCGCAAAATACTCGATTCCCATCCTGGTAATAAGGTATATATAAGTATTCCACCGGTTGGTCGCGGCCAGTGTGACAAGTGCAAGGTGACGTGACTGGGTTTCCATGGTAACCAGCTSCTCGAGCCTCGAACCCTACCCACCTACACGCACATAACGCCAAGCTCATTATTAGTGATGAGYTTAATCATCCTTTTCAGTACTATTTTGTTTCATTTAAGTTTCATCCAATTAAGTGCGTTGGCTCTAGCAGTGAGAGTGGATAAGCAAAGTATAAAATTGCAGTAAAAAATGAACACTGCACATATAAATATGAACTTACCACATGGAAAACGTATCTTCTGACACACCCAACGCTTTAGCAGCAGCTTGAGAGAGCTGGTTTGTTKTCACGTCCTGGTTCACCTGTACTGTTCTGCTAATAACTAATTCAAATGTCACAGTTCTCCCTTGTCTCTTTGGTGGACGCACAGGCRATCGTGATATCGTTGGTGGAATGTCGGGATTCGGAGGTAGAGGACGGTGATGAATTGGAAGTGGGCTAAAAACCAAGTAAAACGCTTGTTCAAGAAAATCATAACTCTCACACTATACTAGGAGAAATTGATGAGGGAAATACTGTCATTCACATTATTATACAACAACAAAGCTCTCATTGGTCAACAGGCAACCACATGACGCCATTGTGCCCGCATAGAGAGTTTAATCTCGGTCACTATGGTGTGATAGATGCCTTTGGAAACYGGATGTTCCTCAAAACTGTTTCTCATGCAATTATTTGTTTTTTTTTTGTAACATCCAGTCTCCACATTCAAGTACTCTACTGTATGAATAGTATTGTGTGGTAATTCATAGACTATATTTAAAGGGGAAGTCCACACCCCCGACAATTCTATTTCAAAATCATAATATGATAAAGAAAATATATCGCACTTCTAGCTGTCAAGCTCTTCACTGATTATGACACAAATGAATCAGTACATGCATGTGCAATGTATGTATCATGATGTTGTGGTAGGAGAAATCTTGAAAATAAATTTCGCTTTGCTGAAGAGTACATTCTATCATCTCACCTTTTACTCCGTGGTGAGGGTGGTAGTGGTTTTGATGGTGGTACACTAACAGCCTGTCTTCTTCCAGGGTGTGGTGAGGTAGGACGAGGAGGTGGTGCTACAGAGGGAGGTTGAAGGCTTTCAAGCTGAGTACCATKGGTTTTCTTCAATGATCTCCGGGTTTCTTTATYGCGAAGATCCTTCATCAATTTACTTCTTTCATTAACCTTCAACCATAACATGACAAACCAAGAAATTAGAAAATGGCAACTAATCAAAATAAGACAACCAGATATGAGAAGTAGTGTATAAAGAACGAAAGAGTGTGTTTTATCGGGTGATAAAGATCCGAGCCGAAGGCKAKGATCTTTAGTCCCGATAAAACACACTCTTGAGTTCTTTATACTACTTCTAGAACTTTAACATCCAGAAATCGTTATCATTTTAGAAAAAAAGCTAAAAAATGCGAAAACAGTAATAATGCATATTAAACTTCTACTGAGCATGTGCATTTGCCACAATTGAAATAATTTTGATCCCACGCGTAAGAACGGCTAGTTTATGCTATACTGCATGTCTGCACATTTATTCAAACTGAATTAAAACCTAGCAAAGGTCTATGATGTGACATTAAAACTGAGACCTAGTGTTGGGTTGCGATAAAGCGCTGATGACCTTGAACATCAGTTCTTTATATCTGATATAGAACTGATTAATAAAACATCAGTTTTATATATCTGATATAGAACTGATTAATAAAACATCTGACGTGCTTTATCGGGATATAAAGGCCCATCATGTGACCCAATAGTTCGATGCTCATTGGACTAATAGCTCGTGAATTATTAATGAGTTCTAGAAATGTAACTACATAACACGTTTTTTGATCCATGACTTGGATGACCTGAATGTGAATAGCAGCAAGGTTGCAGGACAAGTTGCACATTAAAGATCAATTTCTAGTATTTCCCTGCCTTAAGAAATTTTTGTTAAGTGCAAACACTTACTAAGCCAACAGCACGAGGAGTATGGTCTTCACTTYCATTGATGGACTTTTCTGGGTTATCCCTTGTTTCCTAAACAGAACAGAATTGTATGATCAAATTGATTTACACAAAAACAAACACACTACACAACCTGCACATTCTGGAATGTAATGAATTACTTGSACAGCCTGAATCAAGAGAAATTTTGTTATCATGAAATAGCATCCACCAATCATGCCTAGCCTCCTTCAAAGGCTTCATCCAGAGGATACTAAAGGGATTCCCAAAAATGCAAAATAAAGGGTTGCCTGTGGAGGGAGTTAGATCAAGTTTACCAACTTGAGCTGYTGCACAAAGGTTGGATAAACTATAGGAAGCCCAGCCATTTGAGAAACTTGTTATCTATCCAAATCATTATATAGTGGTTTCACATTAAGAGCACTCACTCACAAAATAATTGTGTGACCTCATTCTTATCTTCTCAATTTTTCAACTTAAGCAACTAAACATATTAAAATAAAGTAATAATTAATAAAAAATCATAAACTATAAAAGATACAGTCCTCTCAATTAATAGGATGATAYGTAAGAGTGAAAGGAATATGGTTATTAAGTGCACAAACCTTAGGTGTGAGAGCAGTGTTAYGATCAATGTGAGAGACTTTAAGCAGAGCTTGATCAATGACATGTGGAGGATAGTTACGATTAAGAAAAAAGGAACGCATCTCCATGCATTTGTTAGAAAAGTCATTATCATTTCTACACAAGCGACAGAGACGAAGMAATTGAGAGAAAGGCATGGCATTAAGAGTATGCTTAGGGTGAGAAGAAGAATGGAGGAGATAAGAGTGAGAATCAGTAGGCTTATAATGCACAGTAGTGCTGAGATGAAGTCAGTAATACTGACTTGAATGTCAAGAAAAGTGACTGATGTGTMACTGATTTCAGAAGTGAATTCTAAGGCAGGATGAAAAGAATTGACGTAAATGAATGAGTCTAAATTGTCATGAGAGCAAGAGGTAGCATCAATACAATCATCAATATAGCGGCCAAAAAACTCCGGTTTAGGACTGGTATATTGCTGAAAGATATGGTTTTCAATGTAAAATAACAAATAAATTAGCATAACTAGGGCCCATTTGGTTTCCATAGCAATGCCATTTATCTGCTTGAAAAACTGATCACCAAAAGAAAAACAGTTAAGAGTAAGAACAAGTTCAGCTAAGCGTAATAAAGTAAGAGTACTAGGCTGAAGAACAGGAAGACGATCAAAGAAATAACGAAGGGTGCAAAGCCCTTTGTCGTTGGGAATAACAGTATACAAAGGTTCAACATCCATAGTGAACAAGAGTTTGTCAGAGTTAGCGGTAAAGCAAAAATCATTAAAAATAGAAAGAGCATGATTAGTGTCTTTAATGTAAGTAGGTAAAGACTGGACAATAGGAAGATAGCTTGAGATGAGCTCAGTAGGCCAGTGTTACAGTCCTTATGGATCTTAGGTAGAAATTAGATATGAGAAGTACGTGGAGTAGTAACAAATAAATTGACAGTATTGAGAGGTAGAGAGCCGTCGGAGATGAAAGAGTTGACAGTGTCCTTAACTGTCTTCTGATTGTCAAGGRTAAGATCATTATCAACCTTACAATAAAAATGCTCATCAGAGAGCTGGCGGAGAGCCTCCTRCTTATACAGGTCGGTACGCCAAACAACAACAGCACCCCCTTTGTCGGCGGGCTTAATGACAATGTCAGAATGGTTACATAGGCGGCATAGAGCTGCCCATTCGTCCTTAGAAAGATTAGAATAACTAAGTTTACGATTGAAGTTGACATTGGCTTATTCACCTATTGGGCACTTATAATCCCCATGGGTTGAATGTTCCCTTTATAGCACCTTTATTGTTCTTTTGTCTAACACTTCCTTTGCTTTTCTTGTTTATTTAGTTTGTTTGTTTGTTTGTTGTTTTTTTTTTTGTTACCTTGCCTACCTTGCTCCGGACTATTGGTCTATTTTCTTTGCTACTCTTACTATACAAACTCACACTATACCTAGTTCCATCTCTTTACTCTGTCGAAGGATTAACGTCCGAAACATCTGTAAGTTATTTCACATACTTTTTTTACAGTGTTAAATTTATCTTTTTACACAACTGTAAAATTTTCTCAGCCCTGCATGTTCTTTGGAAATGTTGACTAACAAAGACCTTGAAATAATGGGGGCATAAATAAAAACACTACTTTATAGMAGTACRCTACTGATAATCAATTCTTAACAACCTTTTGTCCATTAGTCTCTTTCACCCTAGCAGCAACCACTTGAGACTTGCCAAGGTAGTTAGCAGTTTCTTTTGTTACTTGAAGCTTGCTTTTTGAAGGCTGGAAAACTGCRATTGGAGGAACTAAAATAGGTTCCATCCCTTTCCCTCTCTGTGGATATAGTGGACAGGAAATATATTTATCAATACAGTAAAAACAGGTCATCATGGCAAAATTAGGTATTTTGAGTACAAGTAAAAGGACTGACAGACCTGCCAGCAGAGAAGTGCATCTTGGATAACTCCATGACGAGGTTCTACACAAGATTCAACTGCTTTTAAAAAATCAGATTTTGCCTGTTGATCTTTTCCAAGATATGCATATGCAATTCCTCTGTTGCACAGAATCTGATGTATAAAATAAACAAACAGGTCAAAAAGCAACAGGGATTGATCATCTTAAAGGACACTGTTTCAGGGGCACATTTAGGCTAGTTCACCTAGTTTCTGGAAACTAGTCAGATTTTTTTTACAAAAATATAGTAAAAAGCGATAAGTTAAAAAAATAAATACAGAAAAAGATAATTAGAGCATATTTTACTGTGTAGCTTGCATTTCCTTTGCTCTAGCTGCCATTTTGAAAATCTTACCACAGGATTAATACCCAATTTAAACTAATTTTGTCTTGTGGGAGAGGACCCATCGAAAGTTTTGCCATAAAAAGCTCAAGCCCAGAGTCTGTCTGTTTCCCGGCAGTGAACTTGTTTCTTTTGATGTCAGCAGTGATTCATASAGGTATCCTGACTAGTTTCCAAGATCAAAACTGTTTACACAATGTAGGGAACCTAAATGCTGATTTCAGCCAATCAGAATCTAGATTTGATTTGTATATGGGAGGGGTAGGAGCTAACAGAAACTAAACGTCAGAAACCAGTAGAATCCAGTGCTACCCTACCCTGGTAAGGTTCTAGTATGTTCTCTTTAGCATTCAGTTTAGCAAAGATTTTGAGAGACAATTGCTGGAAATAATTAGCTATAATTAATAATTACACTGCTGAACTGAGCAAATGGAACAAATAGGTCAGTAATACTACCAACACTGTTTAAATCAGTAATTTTTGTATCAGCACGTGGTCAAACGACTCATTAATCCATTCAAGGAAATTCTCATACATTGCAATCACTGACGACTGTCATTCTTACTCAAGACATGTAAGCATTCTTTGTGCTTGGCATGTAATGAAAATAATTGCTGATAATTCAAAATAATGAAAACACTAGAGAAAAATCAGTTATAGAATACACAGTAAACATTGATAAATTTGAATCAGCRAAATAGAATTCCTGAAATTCGGTGTAAGTGTTTTTTAGAACGTATTTTGGACCCTTGTGTATATTTAATAGTTGGCTGGGTCAGCCATTTAATAGAATCACATATATTTTACAGTCAGTTAAATAAACATTTGATTTCTTCAGTGACCAATGTTGTTGTTTAGCTGTATTGTCCAATGTAAGCTTCTATAATATGAATATTCATGTTTTTATTAATCAGCATAATTATGTCAATACTGCAACACTTTTCGAGCTGGAAACTAGAGTCCACAAAAATGCTTAATCYGCCCCTGCTGTTTTATAAAATTCTAAAACTTAATCATTTTAACCCTTCAATACCTCACATGCATAGAGTTTATACTTTAGTCCAAGCTGTTTGTAGTCAATTAAACGATTACCACGGAGAAAGAATAAGGCATTCTCAAAGTCTTGTAATGCATCTTTGTGRAGTTTCTGCTTTAGATGAGCACAACCAAGCATGAAGTGTGCTATTGCCAGCATTTTGTCCTTCCCTATTGATTCTTGAAAAGCCTCAAGAAATTGAACAAAATAAATCAATCTCTATCACTATATTGAACAAAATAARTCAATCTCTATATTAGCTCAACTATATTAGAAGTAAAAGATATTCTACCCCATAACTTACATTCATTTGTCAGAAAATTACATCATAACCTTATTGTGTTTAAAACCTTTAACTTATAGGTCTATATGTGCACCTATGCTGGCCCGACTTCTAAGAGCATCTACTAGTCTTTTTAAATAACGAGTCTTATGATATATTTTAGTTCTTATACATGTGGGACAAAAATGTGATTACAAGGACTATTTTTGAAGATATTTTTTGATGTTTGTGAATGGTTCCAGTGGCGATTTTCAATAGCCACATTTCAATCCAAATGGCAAAAGGCAATATGTTAATTTCATCAGATTTAAGGAGTTTTTCAGGAGTTTTAGTGATTTTTCCCATTTTCAAGGGCTTTTCAAGTTTTCAATTCCAGGAGTTTTCAAGGATTTCAAGTGCGAACACTGATAAATAAATTCACAAATAAAATAAGTCTATTCCAAAGTCTGAATAAAACTTGGCATTTGCTCCTTTGATAAACAAGCTAGAAAGGGAACAATTGGATTTTGATAATATCAGTAATTAAACTAGATAATTACTTTGCCAAACAGCATTCGTAGGTATAATRCAATRAATTATGACAAAAAATGAAATTATATTTATATCATAATTATGAAGTTTTCAGACATTTTTAAATTTTTGTATTACATATTTTTCATTGTTGTCATTGTTTCCCCTTTTAGTCTACTTCAAATAGTCATAGCATGAAATAACAAATCCCTAAGGCTTTCTATATGCTAATATTTTCAACTCAACTATAAATTTTTAGCAAAAAGACATATTATAAAGCTTATCTCTTATTAAACTTATCTCTCATTATAAACCCTCTATTATCTCATTACATATTGTTAGATTATTCAACATTCTACCATCTCTCGTGTAGTTTAATACTGTCATGCTATTTGTTCTGTTGGGTCAAAGGATTTCTTTTGATAGACGAAAGAGTGAAGTTACGATTTGGGTTCATCACAATAATTAAACTTAAGACTTAATTTTATAAACAAGCAGTAGGAGCAGTAGTAAGTTTATAGAATAAGCTATAACTTTGATACCTCTTCAACTCTAGCGTGATTCATACCTTGATAGCCATATCGATTCTATCAAGCGAGAAGTAGGTCTGACCAATGTTAAACAAGTTCCTAGCTGAAGTTAACAAAGTTTGATTRGAGTCTGTCAGTTGTTCTAAAGACATGAACTTCATCAAGGCGTCCTCGTATCGTCCTTTCTCTGTCGACGAAACGGCCTCGTCCCAAAGCTTAAGGGTTTCTAGCATAGATAATTCACTCATCGTGACAGGAAAACTGGAAAGAAACTAAAAGGAAAACYTTYGGAGTGTTTTACGGCACGTCCACTGTCTGCATCCACTGAAGCATTCTTGTGTAGTTAACCACAGGGAACCCAAAATGAAAACTAAATAAAGCGTTTCGCATACAAAAATAAAACGATATAAAAGATGACCACGATTAAGATTTATGATGTAAATAGCGATATAATTCAAAATAATCCTTTTGACTCTGACAGWTAATAGGCATAAAAAAGTAATTTACAAAATTTCCAGTTTGGGTTCCCTATGTCTGKGCCTGGTTGCTAGGGAGACAGATGAAAACTCGTGAACTCGTGAAACGCCATTTAATCATTCGAAATCGACTGGAAAGTAATGGAGTACACTGGGAGTAGCTACACAGGAGACTTTAAAAATGAAAGGTTTTTTGATAATACTAAAAATGTACCTCAGCTTTMTTTGATAAGTTAGCTTAACTTATATGCTGAACAAAGTTGATTGAAACTCAGGTTGGAAGGAAAAGGCGAATATAGTTTTCCTCCTTCGCTAGAAACCAAATATGAGGGCAATATGAAGGATGGAATGTAAGTCTGAAGTTCATACAATTTACTTATCATCTAGAAAAAAAGGAACCAAAAATTCTGATTGCAAATGAAATGCCATTGAATGGTGGAACACATTCTAATTGTGATGTCATTGATTACACATACATTACATGTATATCCAGGATGATCTTTTAATGGAAGGCTCCTTACGTTTTTCTATCCCCTAGAATGTCAGAGACAGCTAAAATAGTTGATAAATTGTCTACAAAATCTTGCTTGTAGTTATTCCTAGCAGCCACTTTCTTGCAAAGGTATATGTTTTATTGTATCAGCAGAAGAAAATTTTTGTAAATGTATATTTACAGGTTTCATGGTGAGGGAACACTATACTTTTCTAATGGAAGCAAGTATGTAGGGAAATGGGATAATGGCATAGCAGTAGAAGTAAGTATATTTACCTTTTGTTTTATCTTATTCAAATTCATTAATAATTCATAAGGATAACACAATGGAAAATCATTGACATGACTTCATCTTTATATTTTATCTTGAAGTTTGAGGCTTTATCTTGAGGCTTGCTTGCAGCTCACAGTTTTAAATACCCTTCAAGAATTCATTACATGATTAAAGTTATTAGGYCAATAGAATGAGACTATTTGGTCACATGCATGGACTTTTATGTCTTATAAAACAYTCCTTATTCTTTACATAAAGAATACTAATAAGGGTGACCTTTACCCTTAAGCAAAGGCCTCAGGTTTGATCATAGGGCGCCCAACTATTGCTTGAGAGAAAGAAAAAGAATGAATGCGCTCCGGGGTAAAAGTACCAGGGATGCTCATTGGATCTCTCTATCTGATAGCACTTAAGTAATAGATAACTTTTTCCGTGTTTACATAGCCTGATGCAAACACGAGGGTAGGTTGGGAGAATTCGAGACGGTTATGCAAACCCGAGACGAAGTCGAGGGTTTGCATAACCATCGAGAATTCTCCCAACCTGCCAAGTTATTTTATAAAGCTTTGTGTCTCACGATATGAGTAAAATAACACAGAAATCATCATATTTTCAGTAATTGTCGGCTAAAAAGACGGGGATTTTTGCCACTTGTTTCATAGATTCAGTTTATTTTCATACACAAATACTTTATTTAATTACAGCTTACTCACAAATTTTCACTGATTCATCTATCGTTGCTGCCGCCAGTGGAGATTTGTTACTTTTTCGAAGTGGATGTCTCTCAATATAGAATTACAATTTTCTTTCTTTTACAGCAACCGAGGAGTTATTGCATCGAGCAATTTTAAAAGTAAACTTGATAGACAAGGATTAAGCAACACGAAGTACGCTTAAAAGTTTGCCTGTTTTCAGCTAGCTGAGTGTTTTCATTGAGAAAGCTTGGCATTTGAACAAGCTTACACTGATTCAAAATTTTCTTGTGTTTTCATTTCCTACATCTTAAAAATCATTGAAGTGGATGTCTCTTAAAATAGAATTACAATTTTCTTTTTTTTCCAGCAACTGAGGATTCATTGAATCAAGCAAAGTAGACTTAAAATTTTAAATTTWAATTTSAATTTTTTAAATTTKAATTTTTTTTTTAATTTAGAAATTTATTTAGCTTTGTCCCAAGTATGAGCAGGGACACTGCAACAGCGTGAGCCAATTACTGCGGACCATGTACTCTCACACTCACTATCTCTACATTAAGTATTTTAGCACACAACACTCCTCACATGTTGATTTTTACTGAGGGAGGAAAACCGCAGTACCCAGAGAAAAACCCTCGTGGCAAGGGAAAGAACAACACATCAAACAAACTCAAACTCACATATGGTCCATGCCCGTCCAACTTACTGTGTGATCATTAAATTAGCAATTTCTGGTCCAGATATGGAAAAAGACGGACCCGTGGTCTGGATACACAATTTCATGGACCAGTTTTCAGCCAATCACAGCGCGGGTATTATCTAAGTCTTATTTCATACTTGATTCAGTTTTCTTTGTTATTCATAGTGTTGTACATGTACATGTATCTCGCTTATTCCCCAGCTCGTTGTGTATTCAAGTGCTTTATATCGAAGTTTCAGGGATATATCTAGATATTGCCCCCATTTGAGGGATATATCTATATATTGCCCTTGAATACTAATGTATATTGCCCTTGAATACCTAATTAACTACTACGTTCAACTTAGAAATTTTCCGTCTGAAATTTTAAACTTGAAAGAAAGAAAGAAAAATTCAAATGACACCAAGTAGATTCGAACCCACAACCTTAGCTTTGAAAATCCTATACTTAACACGTTATGCTAACTGACTAATCGATGTCAGTTATGGAATAAAACAGTTATTTAACATTGTCCAGTTAATTGTTACAAAAGGTGTATTGTTAGCATTGGTCTCATGGGACTAACRAGAAAATTGGTTATGCAAATTATTCCCGTTGGGAATTTTCAATACTGTAAATTTCGTAATCTTTCTAATCGAAGGTTTGGTTTTTAATTCATATGAAAACGGCTTCTTTGCCTATTTAAAAATGAAAATATTAATGCAGTGCTTGGAAAACTTCTTCAAGTATGAAATAAGCCAGTTACATACCTCGAACGTCGGCAATCAGCCTATACATCGCTCGGGCCTACGGCCCTCGGGATGTATTAGGCTGATTGCCTCCGTTCTCGGTATGTAACTCTTACATATAATAAAATATAATATAAAATAATATAATATTTTAACATAATGAGCTGAAAYTTCTCAGGGGTGTTGAGAAAAATAAGAACACTATGTTGCAGTTTGAAATAATTATTCACTTATTAACCGCTTTTATTGAACTTTTCATTTTCTCTCAATGAATGCCTCTCAATTCCAGTGATTGGGCTACCTGTGGACAAACCACCTTTTCAATGACAATCAGCGTAAACACTTATTTTGTCAGTTGTTTTAACCAAACAATTTTCAAAGCTTATAAACATCTAATTGAATTTGACAGACCTTTTGTCAATGAAATTTCCACACTGTTAGGCTGTACACTGTTGTATTCAATAAAATGTTAAAAGGGAAGTRTCCATGATTTATTTCCTTGACTTGTCTATTCAAAAAAACATTTTTATATTTAGTATTTTCACACTTTTTTCATTTTATAATACAAAATATCGAGTTTGAAATTCAATCAAAAACAGGAAGGAAGCTGATCGGGACACTCCGCCTTACATTCGAAGACTAGCTCTTCGACTATTTGTTGCCTGCTCGGTTTCCAATGTGTGCCCAGCTGCCTGGGGGAACACATCAGTCCATGATGTGACCAGTGTTTCATACCTTGAAACTCAATTCCATTAAAAGTTTTGGAGAAATTGCTGAAAAAATAAGTTTTGGGATAAATGGGGCAAACTGATCATGCRTGAATCACTTTACAAAGCACTCTTGTCATCCCACATTGAATAGAAGTGCTGGTGTCTGTTTTAATGCAATTGACATCCTGCATTGGTCAATGATCAGGTATCAACCTGAGACCTTTGCTTGGGACATTAGGACCTTTATATCTGATAAAGCTATCAGATAGTATTCTCTATATAAAGAATACTAATAAGGAGTGTTTTATCAGAWATAAAAGTCTGACCAAATGTATGAGGTTATGTACATGTATGAGGTTTTGAAACTATACATAAAGGTTTCCTGCTTAGTTTGCATTATATAGTCAATTGACAAAGGATTGTTGTTGAMCAAAATCAATGAACTGGCATAGCAACCCCTTCCAGTATAGTGTCAATTTGTTTCGCCTCTAAATATTCTCTTTTTTAATAACTCGAAGACAAACATTGAACATTGTTTAATCTTGATAAATTATTTATCCTTCAGCAGCATGTGTGTAGATAAGTAACATTGAACGTTTTATTCCCTGCCATGATATGGAAAACAATGTGAGATGCAAAAGTCAACGTCACATGCATGCATAATTAAATTCCTGTGATTTGGGAATTTTTGTCACATTATGTGTCAGTTCTTCCAATCACAAAGGTGAATTTTACCTAGGAACCAGTCATGGCTAGTTGTGTTTCGTCAAACCYGGTCGATGACAACCTAGCCTGCATGGCAGCTCTAGGAGAGGGGGGAGGGAGAAAACGGAAGGGGAGGGGGTGGGGAGGCGGAGAGGAAAAAAAGGAGAGCCTGCTAAAAAGAGCCGCTAAATCGTGTACTGCCTACTAGAGGTCATTGAAGTGGAAATGGTTCGTTACTTGTCAATTTTATGTTGTGCTTGTCACTTTCGTTTTGAACAAATTATTACCAGCTTATTACGAGCGTTATATGCCGTTAATGTTTACTATTCACGCAAAATCTGCTACCGGAAAACCAAACAACTTTGTATAAGATTTGTAAGATCTGTCAGGTACAGGTAAATCAAAGTGCCTTTCAGAAAAGCAAACATACTACGGGAGACTGTCCTGCAAATTCAACAAAGCAACACATGTATGTACATTATGACATTTGACCTTCATCTTTCTAGTATAAAGAAGCTTCGGCTGAAAGGTTTCGGCTGTACGTAGAATACACATTCACGGATGCTATTTTAAAAACCTCTAGCTACTTAATATGCTACTCTTTACAAAATGACAAATGTCAAAATCCGAATCTATATAGCCTATCCAACAGAGATGCACATGACTTGTTGGACGATCAAGATCACAGTTTTCCCTAACTGACTTTTTAATCTAGCGATCAATAAATTCGACTTTGTAAACCATCTTTCCGTGTTGTTTTGGCTTTAAGAGTTCTCGAAATAGCCTGGATATTGTTATTTTGACAGCGAATTGAAAACGTCAATCACAGCGCTGATTTAAACCAATCAGGAAGCGTGGCCTCTGGAGGCAGCGAGTACACGATTTAGCGGCTCTTTACAGCAGGCTCTCCTTATTTTTCTGCGCCGCCTCTCCACCCCCTCCCCTTCTGTTTTCCCCCTCCACCCTCCACCCTCCCCTAGAGCCGCCATGCAGGCTAACGACAACCTTTTGTCAATCGACTATATATATTACATCAATGGACGCTCTCTCTGCCTGGCTACCCAACTAGCAGTTTATTTTCACCAAAGTATTCATCAAACTTTTGGCAATACAAATGTTACGGGATCATGGACTTTCAACTTGTATTGCATTCAACCTGATGGTTCAATTAGACCTTTAGTAGACTGGCAAATCAGAATGCAGAACAAGTGACAATTAATTAGATATAMAATGATAAAATGATAGTTAAATGAACTGCAGTGAATACATGTGTAAGGAATAATGGTCGTTGCAGTGAAATTCTAATAATCTGAGCGATTATTAATACATGAAATAACTGCATGTTTGCCAACATAGTTGGCTTCATAGCTCTGTTGGTAGAGCACTGCTCTGGCATCGCAGCGGCCATAGGTTCAATTCCTTTAGCCCAAATTGTTTAAGTTGAACAACTCCAAGAATATATCAGTGACAAAATATCCCATAAATCAGAGGGTCATTTTGATATATTTCAAATATGACAGAGGGGGTCAAACTATTGCAAATTGCTGGATTTATGTAGACAATAACCTGAAAATTACATGCATCAGTCAAAGGATAACCAAAGAGACAAACCATTCTTAGAAATCCAAGAGCCAAAAGAAATTATAAGTAAGCYGCAGTTCACTCAATGGACCCTGGGTTTCGGTTGATGAGAGTCTCAGGGATAGTAACCAACTACTGTTGTTATGGTAGGTTTAAAGTAACATTTGACTTTGTAGGGAGAATACACATTTGCAGATGGTCTAGAGTATGATGCAGAAAATTGGGGATATTGTGATGGATATGATAGAAGATTTTACACAGAGATTTGTCATGGACTAAAGCCTGCAGGTAAAAATATAAACCAGGAATTAGATTAAATTAACATGTACTTTTATGTATAAGAGGTGTATAGGCGGGGGTAACAGTACAGTTATGACAACTTACATGACATACAATTTAGATTTTAGGTTTGTGAGCAAATACTTCATACCTGCCAATTAGATTTTTGATGAGATTATGGATATGCAAAGGCAATCATCGCCAGTAATAGATCAAAGATGAGTGCGAGTGTTTCATCAGGGGATCCAAATACCGAGGAACTGATTAAAGCACGAGGCCGCAGGTTTTTTGATTCCCCTGATGTAACACGAAGCATGATTTTTTGATCTGGCTTCTCAAACAAATTAATAATGAATGACTCATTAGCAATAAGAAGTATGTTTAGAAAACAAGGGGATTTTGATTCAATTCATTGTGAAATTTTCGTATTATAAGACTGGCTTCAGCTGAACGAATTGAGTCAGTACACTATGTAAAAGAGAGAGCTGAAGAGAAAGAGTGCTTCAATGTTGATATGGAAAGAAATACCTTCAGCAATTGTGAAATCAACTTCTATTACAATAGTTAAAGTTTAATATAAAGGTATGAGAAGTTGCTCAATAAAAAAGTAGCTTGTTTCTACAGTATTCTTTGTTAGTTGACTGTCCATTTATGAGTGAATATTTGTTACTAATGCAAATRCTGATAAGCATGCATTATTTGAAACTAAATGAATAATTAATGAATGACCATTAGAATCAAATCATAAGTCCAACCAATTCACAAATACCTTAGTTGGTAGGTGTATGGGATTTCATGCGAGAGGTCAAAGGTTCGAGTCACCGGCACTGCAACATATTAAGTAATGTTCCGAGTAAGAAGCAGGCATGCAAGCAAACGGCAATGGAATGCATGAAGGTGCTAATTGTGTATTGTATAATCCATCCATCTCATTGGTTAAAGCATTAAAATTTGACATAATTTCAAAAGTAAGCGCATTTTTTAATATTTTATTTAATATCTGATTCCGACTTCATWAAAGATTTCCTTAGCTTTAATATTAATAGCAATTCTATGTGGGGAACCTAGCAAATTAGAAGCATTTTTTGGCTATTGTTTTGAGTGCTTATGATTGGACAAGATCTTTTAATGCAAAAGAATCTTTGTTTCAAAACAGAGTTTATTCACATTTTATTTTGAAAATGTGTTACCCATAGGTTGATAWATAATCAGTGTGAAGACCAAGACATTCGTATGTGGGGAAGTTGCAATTGCCGCAGAACAATAGAAAGTTGCCTGCTTTTTCCGCGCATTGTTACTTAARTTAAAATTGAAAGTAARAATAAAATAGAAATAAATGTAATAGAGCGGATTTCGTATAAGTGGGAAACGGACGGTACTGTACTGTGTCCGTAATCGTACTGTACAACTAAATTCTAGTGCCCCATTAGTTCACCAAAATTCTGCAGGCCTGGTGCGGTAACCGTGCGGTAACGGTGTCCCACTCGTACGAAATCCACTCTATGTTTAAAAGTAAAATAAAATAGAAATAAAGGTAATATGTTTAAAAGTCATCACAGGTAGATTAGATTAGGGAGAAAGAGAAAAGAAATTAAGAAGAAAAAGAGAAAATAGTATATAAAGGCTAGAAAAAATATCAGATGAAGGTAATATTTTGTGTAAAAATAAATATGCAGCTCTAGGATTTGGATATCTGAGGGAACTCCTAGGACTTGGATATCCACAGGCAACCCAAGCAAAGCATTTGATTCAAAATTGTTTTTTTTTTAATAAAATACATTTTACCCTAATCTCATGTGTTGCTRATGTTATTTAACATTGCTGTGTATGATTTTGAAGGAATTTAGAGCTATTTTTTTAAAAATATCGCCATCAGTCATAAAAGACTACAAGGCTGGTTTCAGAACTTCCACAGCAATTKTCTTTGAAGGMCGAAAAAAATATCTTAAATCCATCCTTTGCCTCCAAAATCCCCTCAGCGGCATGTCTCTAGGATCCTTCTATCCAGAATTGGGTAATAGTTCAACGTACTTCAAATCCAACCGTACCAAATTGTCATGTTTGTACGCTATTCTGACTCAATTTTTGAATCTGCTCAAGCATTCATCGACCTTGATGGACACCGTTTTTCAAAACTCCCTCTGACTGGACAACAGTTACCATTGAATCAGTTCAAGTACTCCGGACTACTACGGGGAGTGTAGGAAGGTAAAATGTATTTATTTAAAAAAACAATTTTGAATCAAATGCTTTGCTTGGGTTGCCTGTGGGAATCCAAATCCTAGGAGATGGATCTCATTTGCATGTGGTGTTGGATCATTAGGTATCCAAATGCATACACGTGACCCTGAAGAGATCGCAAGTCATAAATTATTAATGAGTTTGAGAAGTAAACCTGCAAATTTTACATAGTTT